CCGGCCGATGACCGAGAGACAGGTGATTCCCAGGAAATTCCCGATACTGGTCCAGTGCCCTCACAAACCATGCGATTTAGATCCCTACCAAAGTGGGAGCAGAACCAACTGACTCTTATGCACAGGAATCTAGGCCATCCCAGCAATGAAAGACTAGCCAAAGCGTTGCAATCAACTGGTCATCGTCCCGAAGTGGTGAATGCTGCTCGAGAGCTCAGGTGTAAAGTATGTGCACAACAATCACCACCCAAGCATCAGCGGCCCGGTCATCTGAAGGCCATGATGGACTTTAACCATAAAGTATATATGTATGGCATTTCCTGGACCAACCATGCCGGAAAATCCTTTCACTTCTATCACTTGTTGGATGCCGGAACCAATTTTCACATGGCCATCATAGCTCCTTCACGTTTGACAGCGGACGCCATCAGCATCATCAGCCAACACTGGGTTTCATGGGCCGGGGCACCAAGTAATCTCATTGTAGATGCAGCCACCGAATTCAATAATGAGGAGTTCAATGGGTTCACTCAACGATTCAATATCCAATGTTCCTCAATCAGCCCAGAAGCACACTGGCAGATGGGAAAAATTGAACGTCAGGGCAAGTTTCTCCAGGAGATGTTGGATAAGATTGATGCCGAGCAACCCATTGGTAGCTATCAGGATTTGCAATTGGCCCTCAACCAATCCACACAGGCGAAAAACATGCTCAGTGTCAGACATGGTTACTCTCCAGAAATAATTGTTTTTGGCAAACAAAGTAGACTTCCTGGATCTATATTAAGTGATGAGTCCATTCCAAGTCATTTGAGTGCCTTGCAAGAACTTGAAACCATGTCACAGGATGACTTTCGACAGCAGTTGCAGATGCGCGAGATGGCTCGGAAGGCCTATCATGTGGCTGACAACAGCGACAACCTCAGGAGAGCAATTCTGAGGCGATCCTGTCCCGACCGGGGTCAGTATCAGCAAGGGCAATGGGTAATGATTTGGCGAACCCAAGGTATCAAGAATCCAGGTTGGATAGGACCCCAAAGAGTAATCATTCAGGACTCCAACCATACTGTATGGTCAACACAAGGAGGTAAGTTATACCGAAGTGCCCCAGAACATGTACGCAGGTCCCTGCCAGATGAAGGTCAGCCTGATGGACCAGAACTTCCAACAGACTTAACTTCCCTGCAGCAACAAATCAACCGAATGAGCCAATTGCCCAGCATTGCTGAAGATGAGCCCATCAGCATAGATCAGATAGCCACGAGTCCTGAACATGCCGATGACGCACCTCAAGAGAGAGTGCGATTGGAAAGCTCAGCCGAATCGATTCCACAACCGGATCAAGAGCCAGATGCTGTCAGTCAACAGTCATCTCAACCACTCCCCGATACATCCGATTCTGAGACACAAGAGATCCAGCAGCTGTTGTTGTTTGAAGAAAGTTCCGCTTTTGATGACCTCAATCATGATGTTGTTTTTCGTTGTGAATTTGAAGTGCCAACCCAGAATGGAGAAGAATGGCCTGACAGTGATCCTTGGATCTTGCTAACGACCGGTGCAGCCAAGCAACGCACCGAAGTTCAGTTGTCAGAGCTATCTCCACAAGAACGCAGTGCATTTGAGGATGCCAAGCAAGCCGAAATCAACAACTGGTTACATACACAGACCGTTTCCAAGGTTCTCCGTGATCAAATACCAGCTGAACAAATCATGAAATGTCGCTGGATTCTCACATGGAAACCATTAGATGGGGTAAACCAAGATGAAATCGAATATAAATCCCTAAGGTCGCATAAACCAAAGGCCAGACTCGTTGTTCTAGGCTATCAAGATCCTCAGATCGAAGAAATTCCCCGAGACAGTCCAACTTTGAGTAAGACTGCAAGAATGCTCATCCTTCAGACCATTGCCACTCATTCATGGCAGTTGTTATCTTTTGATATAAAGGCCGCATTCTTACAGGGTAAACCCCAAGAAGGAAGAATCATGGGACTTGAACCAGTAAAGGAACTCCGCAAAGCTCTCAGCCTGTCAGATCATGAGATTGTCAAACTGAATAAAAGTGCGTATGGCCTAGTGGATGCACCCTTTTTGTGGTACTGCACACTCACCTCGGAGCTCACGGCCCTTGGGATGGAAGTCAGTCCTTTTGACCCATGTACATTTGTCCTTCGATGCAAAGAAGACCCATCACAGATTGCCGGTATTTTGGGAATTCACGTGGACGATGGGATTGGGGGTGGAAATCAGCAGTTTCATGATGTAATCAGCCAGCTAGAGAAGAAATACCCCTTTGGCGCAAAGAAGGTTAGTTCATTCACCTTTACGGGAATTGATTTGACCCAAAAAGAAGACAACAGCATCATCATGAGTCAGAGTATATATGTCCGAAAGATCAAGCACATCCCAATTGAACCCAATCGCAAAACACAGATGGAGCTGGAGATCACAGAAGCCGAACGCGGTCTTTTGCGCGGTCTTGTAGGATCATTACAGTATGCAGCAGTCAACACACGTCCTGACCTAGCAAATAGACTATCCCAACTTCAATCATCCATCAATAAAGCCAAAGTTGAAGATCTCCTAGAAGCCAACAAACTTCTCCATGAAGCCAAAAAGTATCATGACGTCACGATAACCATTAAACCGATTCCCTATAAAGATTTCCGCTTCGTGGCATTCTCTGACGCTTCATTCGCTTCACATCGTAAACCTGATTCCCATGCTGGTATGATTATTGTAGGCACCCATCAACAGATCAATAATAATGTGCAGTGCCCCATAAGCCCAATCTCCTGGGGATCAAAGAAAATTCAAAAAGTAGTCACTAGCACACTTTCAGCAGAGACAACATCCCTTGCAGCAGCAATCGACCAGCTGGCATGGCTCAGACTTTTTTGGTCATGGATTCATGATTCAAAGGTCCAATGGAAAAATCCCGAAAAGGCCCTCCAAAAGTTAGAACCAGCCATTTCAGTGCCCACTTTCAATGAAACTAATGATGTAGCTATCACTGACTGTAAAAGTCTCTATGATTTAATTACCCGTACGGCTCCACCATCATGTTCAGAATTTCGGGTTCAGTTGGTAGCTAGGGCAATAAAAGAAGCACTCCGAGAAGGCATTAGCGTACGATGGGTACACACTGGTGCCCAGCTAGCAGACTGCTTGACAAAAGCAATGCAGTGCCACTTTCTCAGAGAGACCTTGCGCTTGGGATCCTATCGGCTGCATGATGAAGCCTCAACGTTGAAAGATAGAGCTCAAACCCGAGACAGGATCCGATGGCTACAGCAACCATCAATTGGAGAATGAAAACGAAAAATCAGGTTTGACCAAAAGAAAGATTTTTGACGGATGTGATTCTCCCATTTAAGCTACCTCAGGTCGCTTGTCTTCGATTGGTCAAACCTGCCTTCCGATAGGCACTGGCTCAGGAGAGTTTGGATGCTGGGCGGGAGGGCTAATTAGCCTTGGAGCCATAGGTTGTGACAGGCGTCACCCGTGTTTTTCTTAGCTTGTGGACGTGGCAGTTCGAACCTTTGGAACGCTGTGGTCAGCTTGGGTGAAAACAGAAAGAGAGCGAGTACCTGTGGACAGGGAATTGGGTGCCACCAATTTTTCCGGAGGTTGGTAACCCATTACAGTTTTGGTGCAATTAATTCAAGGACTTCATCATCAACAGTTGTTGCTTGAGATACTGGTTGCTGCCATTCATAGTGCGTATATATATATATATGTATATATTTATATATATACATATGTATATATATATATACATACGTATGTAAATATATGTATGTACATATGTATGTATGTATGTATGTATGTTATGTTATGTTATGTAATGTAATGTAATGAAATGTAATGTAATGCAATGCAATGTAATGTAATGTAATGTATGTGTATGTAATGTATGTGTATGTATGTATGTGTATGTATATGTTTATGTGTATATGTGTATGTATATGTGTGTGTGTATGTAAATATATGTATGTACATATGTATGTATGTATGCATGTATGTATGTATGTAATGTAATGTAATGTACTGAAATGAAATGTAATGCAATGCAATGTAATGCAATGTATGTGTATGTAATGTATGTGTATGTGTGTATGTATGATGTATGTATGTATGTATGTATGTATGTATGTATGTATGTATGTATGTATGTATGTATGTATGTATGTATGTATGTATGTATGTATGTATTTATGTAATGTATGTATGTATGTATGTATGTATGTATGTATGTATGTATGTATGTATGTATGTATGTATGTATGTATGTATGTATGTAATGTATGTACTGTATGTAATGTATGTAATGTATGTAATGTATGTAATGTATGTAATGTATGTAATGTATGTAATGTATGTAATGTATGTAATGTATGTAATGTATGTAATGTATGTAATGTATGTAATGTATGTAATGTATGTAATGTATGTAATGTATTTAATGTATGTATGTACGTATGTATGTAATGGTATGTATGTAATGGTATGTGTATGTATATGTTTATGTGTATGTGTATGTGTATGTATATGTATATGTATATGTATATGTGTATGTGTATGTATATGTGTGTATGTATCTATGTATCTATGTATCTATGTATCTATGTATCTATGTATCTATGTATCTATGTATCTATGTATCTATGTATCTATGTATCTATGTATCTATGTATCTATGGATCTATGTATCTATGTATCTATGTATCTATGTATCTATGTATCTATGTATCTATGTATCTATGTATCTATGTATCTATGTATGTATGTATGTATGTATGTATGTATGTATGTATGTATGTATATACACATTTGTGTGTGTGCGTTTATCTATTTATTTCTCCATATTTATTCATTCAGTAATGTATTCATTTATCTTTGTGTACGATCGTACCCTTTGATCTCTTTGGAAGGCAGTGCCTCTTCCATAATCCTTTTTCAATTCCACACTTTCAAAAAAAAAGCTATGCACTTGGAACCTGCTCACCCGCGTTGCGTGCCACCCAGTCCTCAGCTTGTCTGGAATCCATAGGCTCTTCAGTACAGGTTGTGCTGCCACGGGAACTTGACTGTACTGCATGTCTCATCACAACGTTCTGCATGTCGTTGAGACTCGTCTGCTCGTCTGCTCATAGGTGTGATGTTTCGATGTGTTTCTCTCTTTCTCTCTGCAGCCACAGCGCTGGGTGGCAACCGACTCTTCGTTGCACAATAGACTCATAAACCTGATCCCCAAGATTGCGCAATATAGATCGCCCACTTCCAAATTTAGTCACAAATGTCAATACAAATGACAAATGAATCACAGGGAGATTGAATGAGATTGATCTGTGTGATGATCATGCAAACATCACTTGTCTCTCAATAAGACCTGCCATTTGTTCACAACTAGGATATAGGTCAGAGAAGCAGGATTTCTGTCCGTTTTTGCGCTTTTCACCAGGCACCACACAGTCCAACGTGCGACAGCACGACAGGCACCACCTACTAATGTAGTGACCTTTGCAAATTCAAAAATGACGCCAAGCTTAAAATAACACTGGATACGTGACTTAGCCCAAGAAAACGAACAGCTAAATCAGGAGTGATATCTGAGGTGACAGTGAAGTCAGCTCCAGTATTAGACCGTTCAAAAGGATCTCAAGGATTGCAAAGTCACTGTCTTTGCAAATGCTGAGTTTCCAGCCGTTTTCTTTTTTAAGTAGAGCTCGATATATCTGATCCTAACGTTCATGAGACAAACTTAAGATTAAACAAATACGTAAGAATGCGTCATAATTCATAATATCAACACTATTGACTTATTAATAATTGGTCCCTTGGGGATTGCAAATATGATGGCTACAGCATGGCTACGGCTATGGTCGCTCCATGTCGGTCCAATCTCTCCTTCGGAAGTTGTCCAGGACGAAGAGATGCAAGCCTTCACCGAGCCCGCGATGCCACGATGGCAACGTAGAGTGGTACAAAGAGTTGTACAAAGTGACGAAGTGAATATTCAATGCACATAAAATGAACAAACATGTAAATAATGTAAAAACATGTAAATACAAAATGAATATTGAATGAATATTCATTGTGATAATCGGATGAATATTCAGTGATTATGTAGTGATATCAGTGAATGGTGCTTCCTGGCACTCAGGAACATCCCAACTATAGTGCTGTGCAGTTTCTGACTACTAGGCGTCTTGTGACATCTTCTTACTCCATGCTTCTGTGTCAAGTTTGCGAATGACATTGATGCACTGCAAAGATTAACACTGAATCAAAACTTCTTTCCACGTAAAAAGAAAGTTTCTGCAATCCAAGCAATTTCCAACTTGACAAATGTTGATGAAGATGAGGTCCGACAAGCGCGAGAACAACTCACAAGCTAGACAGAATCAAGGATGCCTCAAAATGAGACCCCGTAACAAGCAAACTTTCCCGGAACCAGCCGGCAACTACTGGGTGTCCCAAGCAGAAACTTTCGAGTGAATGACAGGCAGAGTCTTGATTCGAGAAAAGACCAATTCATGCTTTCGGTTGTGCCAAGGATAAGTTTGTCAAATATCCACTCAAACTTGGGCTGTGCCTTAGCCATTTCAGAAGCACTGCATCTGTGCTATTTTCTTTCCCGCCAAAGTCAACATATTAATATTTCATGTTATTTCAACGCGTATTTCAACGCGTTCTTCAACACTTTCTTGGTCTTTGCGACTTGAAGTCTTTGTTTTCCTGGTGTGTCGCGGTGTGTCGTGGTGTGTCGCGGTGTGTCACGGCCTTGCCTTCAGGGTCCATTCCCAAGCTGGAAGGTTGCTGAAAGCGTGCCTCTTGTCCAGGCCTCGGCTGTAGAAAGTGTTGGTGTAAAACATGCCTAAAACATCTGCAAAAATAACAAATGTATATATTATATATAATTATATATATACTGTATATATATATATATATGCAAACTTTGCACACGAATAAGAAGGAGAATGAAAGAGAAAGGCTAAGACCAAAGCAAACTCACAAAATACGTGCTTCATGACATGGGAACTATGAAGTGGTCAGAATATCAAAGCTAAGAGTTATCAACAGAATACAAAGTCATTAATTGGTGTGAATTGGTGGATCCTGGTCCGGCACAAATACGTCCAAACCAAATGATTCAGAGCAGCACCCATCCCTGAAACCAGGAGTAATCGGAGAGCCTCAGGCATTTGGATAGATCTCTTGCTGTATCCGGATCAATGGTGTACATCAAAAGGCCTAAGGTCATGCACGTAATTTGTGAGTGGCTGTATGTCTTTCTCATCATAAATATATCTTTTCGGTACAGTCTGGACAAAAACTATAATTCAGGGTGTTCTTTGGTGGTCATCAAAAGGCGCAGATGGATTCGTGGATTCTCAACTGAATTCACCGAATGGGACACTCTTCTGGCCAGCCTGCGACAGTAGCAATGCGGCCAGATTCGTAGGTCACGACACGGATGCAGTGGTTGCCACCTCTGGGCCCAAGCCAATCATGTCAATCCTCCGCGGAACTAATTCACCACTCAAATCACTCAAACATCTAAATCCAAAAGTCACATCTTTTTCGAATACTGAGCTGCTTGTGTAAAGCAGAGTCCAGTTCTGAGTCGTGAACATCCAAAGACAGAAAACACGTGCAAATGTTGAAATAACTTTGGAATATGGAAATACTATGTGAAATACTTACAGATCTGCAGTTTTTAAGCAAATGCATCTGGCAAGTTGTCCATATTGGGACTCAGGTCAGCAAATCTCCAGTGCTAGTTCAAACACAGTGCTGTTTGTAAAGGGAGTGAAGACTTATCAGACCTATCAATATCTATCAATACTCAAGACTGAATACATCTGAATACTGTCAGTACTCATCGAGTTACTCATCATAATATCTCCCATTCCACACAGTTCTGTCCAAGTAACTATCGGCAATGTAGATCCGTCGTGGCTGCACGGTGCGGGAACATGAAGTCAACAGAATGTGAAGAGATATGACTTGATATGACGCCGGGCAAAAACTGTTTTTTTTTAAGATGGTATAATGTGGTCATAATATGGTATAATAAATTACAACAAACCCATCGGGAAAAGACATCTGGATAAAACATTGTTGAGTGCTACCTGAACTTCACATGTTCCCTGCTCATGCAGAAAGATCCATGAGGTTTGTCGCAGTCTGTGGAAAATGATGGAAAATAATGGAAAACGTGGAAACTCCATTGCGTGTAGCAGTTTGGCAACGAACAGGTGCTACAGTGACAACCCCGTTCTGTGAAGCAAATGTCTGTGATCTGAGATGTAACGGCTTTTGCATGTTTTTGCTGTGCAAGACAGAGAAGGCCTTTCAAATTGGCGTTAGTTCATGTCGGTTCTGATCAGTTCTGTCTCGGTGTGAGACACCCAAAATGTATTTCTTCAATGCCGTTTTGCCCCTCCCAAGGTCAGGCACCCTGCGTGGGTCAGTGCTGATGACAAGACCAGAAGGCGCATTGAACCGTGCCTCCAAACATCTCCAAACATCTCCAAACACCGTTGGTTCATAGAAAAGAGGGCTAAAAGATGCTAAAAGTCTATTGAAATCTATTAAATAGATTTAAATAGCTTGAAATGTGATATTGACTGCAGTAGTTGGAAAAGTCAGTTGGTGTTAGCCAAGGAGACAAGAGCTGTTTGGCTATCCCCTCATGTGAATGCTGAGGGAGAACCAAGTGAAGACACAGCAAGACTTGATAAAACATTGCCAAACACATCCAAACACTACAAATATTCAAAAAATAAATCATCTTTCAAATTACTTTCAAGCGCCAAAAATTCTTAGACTTTCTCAGAGAAGAAAATCTTCCATGTTTGTTTGCCGGTCTCAAGAGTTCCTCGGTCCTGGCTTAAAATTCAACCCGCTGCCTTAAGCCGACTGCCATCCACATAGCCCGCTAGGCCGCGAGTGCCAGCATATTCCTTAGGACGGTGTGCACATTGACGACAGATTTGCAGTAATATTGCAACATGATCTCTGAAGGTAACCGCCGCTTAGTAACCCATGACACAGCTGAAAAGCATTGAAAAGCTGAACCTCATCAATAGAAGCTTCCAGAGCTCCCTTGAATGCGGCCACCAAATTCAGGACGCTGCTGTGTAGAAGGCCGGCCAGCTCACATAGCGGCTTGTTGTTTTCATGAGAAGCACCTCCAAGCAAGGACTATGCCGCATAGCCACAATGAGCCAGGTTGCATGAACAACTTGTCTCGCCTGTCGCTGAGTGATATGAAAATTGCACAAATTCAACAAAAGCTTAGCTGCTTGGCTTTTCAATACTTTGCCAAGAAAACCAACCTACTCATCCTACTCTATCACTCCGCGATTGCATCTGCCTGGTGGTATCTCGAGTCAGAGATCCAAATCCTTGAGTGGTTTGCTTGTCGCACATGCCACAGCACACATGGCTGAGAACATTGGCGGAACAGATTGAAGACAGCTGTCAAAGCCTTCTGCCTAGTTCTTGGTTTGTTTTGTCTGTCCTTTTTTCCACCTTTTTTATATGTCTATTCTCTCTCTCTCTCTCTCTCCTACAAAACCATTTCCAAGTCACGGGCTGACCCTGCTCGTCTACAACTGTCTGAGCAGGCCAAAGGACCTGGCGATGTGCAATGTGCAAAGCAAAGCGGAGATGGGAACGCACGCACTGCATGCACCACAGCGAATCTGCAAAGCTTGCAAAGAAAAAAAATGCGAACTTGAAAAGATGCAAGGCCAACATTTTAAAAGGATTCGATGTGAAGGAAAGAAAATGTGAAAAAAGGTCTCGCAACGGAACTCCCTGACACAGCTCTATCAATGCAAGGGTATCACCCATCTTAACAGGTGTAACCGTTGCTCAAATTGCTTTAATTCTAGTATGTTTTGAGCTCGGAAAGCAATATATACCAAGCATTTGAGAGAAGAGGGAGTGCGTTTTGTAGCTTGCATCGAAGTCAACTCCAATCCTTCTTTGTTGCTCTCATGATTCTAGCCCTCCAATTTCACAAACGATAGGGTTTGTTTCTTCCTAAGGATTTGCTTATGGCTCATGGTTCAAGTCGGATAAAGTCGGTTCAAGCCGGTTCAAGTCGGTTCAAGTCGTCCAAATGAACTACTGAGGTGTTGGACTTCTCTTGAGGTTGGGTCAATTCAAACCTAAAACGTTAAAATCCTTGGCATTCTGAAGTTTCTATTTGGGGATTTTTTTCAAGGTTATTTTTGGGGATTTGTAAAACATAGATGAAGAAAAGGGTCTTCAGGTTTTGATCAAACATGCTCACAACGCGTTGAACTCAGCAGTCTTGAATCGCCTCGACATATTGACTGAAGCGCCCCGTCTGATTGTGTTCCAACACACGGGAGCCCTGGTAGCCGCTCGCCTTGCGACAGAGTTGACAAACGTGACAAACGTGACAAACGTGACAACCAAACGTGACATAAAAAGTGTCAAGCCAAGTCAAGCTGAACCCGAGTGAACTCGACTGAACCCGATTCCAGTCCACCCTAATACTGAAGCCTGGTAGTAGCGGTTCTGAAAGCCAGGCCTACAGTGTGACAAAGTAGGACATGGTGGCAACGTTCTCTTCAATATCTCCAAGTTTCATCAAGTTTCCAAGTCAATTCATTGTGTCACTTTGTCAATTTTTTTCCATGTCAAACCGATGTTTGGCTGGGTCCGCCAGCTGCTGAAAGTTTTGCGCTGGTCCATTCAGAACATTCTGCGAATGGACCTGTCAGCACTGACTGGTTTACCCATACAGCGGCAAACACAACAAGTTCACGGACACCGCGTGTCAATTCTGTCAGTTCTGAACAAATGCAAACATACAAGGTGCCCCGGAAATGTTTTGAGTTTAGTTTGGTCCTCATCTTGAAATAAAAACAGGATGCAACATGATGCAACAAGAACATCCCGTGCGAACTGTTACTGATCGTCTTAGCCAAGTCTAGGGTTTCATGATACTGTGCCACAAAATCCAAGTAAAATTGTGAAAACAACATGCAAAAACTGACTGGTGACATGTTTTCTGGTTGGGAGACTCTCCACAGGACTGTATTGGCATGCAAGATCATCCTTTCAACCATTGGGAAACACAACAGCGCAGTCAAAATCGAGATTCAAATGGACGAAATGACAAAATTGATGGAATTTGGAGTGGAATTGACAATCAGATTGTCAAAGATTGGTTTCGAACAAAATCAAACGTTTGATGGCAGAAATGGCCCCCCAGTGATTGCGGCCTGGCAGCCACATAAGATCACAAGCAAGCGATACATCCATGCCGTTTCCATGGATTTTTGTTGTGGAAACACCATTTGTAAACTGGGTGCTAAAGTGCGTTTGGCCAACTGCCAGTATGTAATCGCTGTTGCTGGTTTCATTTGTCGAATGTATCCATTTAAGATGTTCTCAAAACGTTCCCTTTGTGATTGGGACGTTTTCCTGTTGACCTTTGAACGCGCATGTTAAAAACATTGTTTAAATTTAAAAATTATTCGGACAATTTCGGACAACATGACCTGGAAATTTTACCAAAAGAATCCTGTCAAGTACATCTCTCATCTTGAAACATCCAAAACAAGGCATTCCGAAATGCGATTTCACACATGCGATTAAACAAATGTTTTCAACAGACATGCGGAAAATTCATTCAATTCAATGTGACGGCAATGGCTGCATGTATTGCCCGTGAAGGTCACCATGCCCTGCATTCTTGGGATATCAGTTCAAGTTGTTCTGTTCACGAGTTGCCCTTGGTCCTGCTGTCACAAATTGCCGATTATTGCCGATTAAATGAAACCCTCGTTTTTGGAATTCAACATGGGGGAAATCACGTTCACCCGGCATTTGTGCATGACGGCAGCTGGAACCAAAAATGGATAAAACAGGCGCGATGAAAAATTGTTCTTGTTGCCTTCATGCGAATGATGAAATTTGTGGTCGCAAATTGGACAGTTCAAACCAAATAAACAGCTAATTGAACATAGCTAAACATAAGCCACATGTAGAATCGCACAGCCATCGGCGCAAATGTTTTCAGACCGACCGTTGCGCTGATTGGAAATGGCCAAACCCTGTTTCGGAAAAACAACGCCTTTCCTGACATAGCATACGTTTGCGATCCGCACTTTTTTGACCAAAAATGCAACGGTTTGATTAGCCCGATCAACTCAACATGACCAGGAATTATCCTTTTCGAAAGCGGTGGCTGCAAATGACATGCCATGACATGGCATTGTTGAGACAACTGTAAATGAAATGCTAGCTGGATTGTGAACGAAGTGCAAGCTGAAACCCATTTGCTGAAGCACTCAGGGTGGCAGTGGGCGGGGCGAGTTGAAGGCACCCAACAAGAAAAAGGATATTGAATTTTCTTATTGCATTGAGATCTACAACGTTGAAGTTTGGAACATGGTGAAGTTGACATTGTATTTGAACATGCAAGCTTGCCAGCAACATTCAGACCTTAAGCCACCTGGTTCGAATCCGATCTTTTCTGCATTGGATAAATCGCTATCACAAGTGACCGCTTGATTATCCTCTTTGAAATCGGTGGCTGCAAATGACATGCCATGACATGGCATTGTTGAGACAGCTGTAAATGAAATGCAAGCTGGATTGTGGACGAAGTGCAAGTTGAAACGGATTGCTGAAGCACTCAACTTTTCACGCTGGGGATCGACGCTGGGGCCTGTTCTTCTCCCCACTTGTCCTGAAGCCACAGCATCTCACCCCGGCAAAAATCAACACTCAGGGTTGTGTCAACTGCTCCCTGCGCGTCTAGTTGTTTGGTTGTTAAACGGGATGGGGCATCTGCACAATTTGAGTCTGCAGGCACCCCCGAGTACCATGGAGTCAGCTGCCATTCACATTCGAGCCCCAAAGTCGCAATCAAAAGTTTTCTTGCAACAGCGTTAGAAGTGCAGCACGAAATAAGCGCATCGCGGACTGCATTGTTGTCCGTGAATACGGCTACAGCGTTCGAGAGCTCGTGACCCCAAACCAGAAATGCACAGTACAGTGCAAAACACACACTCATATATCGCCGTCTTCTTTTTCAGCAGGTTGAGCAAACCCAAATGTTTCTCACTCAGCTGCTGTGAAAAGTATTTGACTGGCTCATCAGCGGGCGTGAAAAGCACCGCACCAATACCAGAAAATATTGAGGCGTCACCGGGCTCGTAACACGCATCAGTTTGAATGAACCACACATTGTTGCATTTGGCCTTCGTTCCCTTGGTCTTCCAAGACTCCAACAAGCGCATATGCAAAGCAAACGCAAGCAGTGACCTCTCGGTCAATCATGTGGGACCCCCACCATAGGCATGTGCTGTTATTGCAGATAACGAAGCTTTCGCGACCCTTCCAAAAACTTGTCCCGCTGCAAACTGCAGGTGCCCTCTCAACCTGAGCGCTTCATGTTTAGCTAGGCACGGTTCATGCAAGATAGTCTTAAGGGCCTTCACCAACTCCTCTCTGCGTCCATCTGTGTTTGTCTGTTTTCCCTTGAAAGGAAGCGCCTGAGAAAGATCCTGAAATGAATTCACTATGGCTTCATGTACATGGGTGTTCCATGGCCACTGACATGTGTGGTTTGCAAGGCCGTAAAATGGAAGCACCCCGCCTTGCCAAATGCATTGGAGATCATCTGGCACATCTATTACAAATCACATGCAAGGAAGCTTAGAATGGTGGCACACTGGCATGGCGCCGGGACAACATTTTGTTGTGCCGCTGCTTGCACTTGCTTCTTAGAAGCGGCCAGATGGCTTCACCAAAATCCCTAAAGATATGCTAAGCTGTCTGTGCTTGTACTCCGGGTTCTCAGGTCTGCTCACTGCTTTCAGAAAATGGTGACCCAGGGAAGTGCAAGGCGTTCCACTCCTCTGGATCTGAAACTTCCTCCAACTCACTTGCAAAGTAGCGCTGCAATCTCTGTGATGCAGTTTCTGCATGCAGGTCGACACCTTCAAGCGTTTCAGCTGCATGCCTGATGGCTACATTGCGCTCAACTTCATTGGCACCATGCAGCGGGCTTGCTTCATCCTCACTGATGTCTGACATGGACATCACCAAACGGCTGAATTGCAGGCGTTGAGCAGCTGTTGCATTCTGTAGATCTTTAAAAGGTCACGTAGCAATGAAATCCTTTGCAAGT